TTTGTAGATTGGGTATGCATGAAGCATACACTGTAGGCTGTTCTGGACAAAATTTCTAATGCGTGGTTGACTGTGATGGGGAGAACTGTACTTGACAGTCCATCAGGATCTGGATAGTCCCTTCCACTCTTCTGTTCCTAAGCGCATTTGTGATGTATATAGTTGTCCAGTGACCTGGAATGAGACAGCCTATTCATTTCTGACAAACAGCCTTCAGATAATAATGTCTTTTCATCACTGAAATGAGCAAAATAATGTCAGAGATATGAAAAGCTTGCATTTTGTCACCAATTCCCTTGAACCATTTGATTCTGTATGCATAAAAGCATCGTAATTTGTGTGTATGTGCATGGATACACGCAGCTGTGTGCGTGAGAACACACAGAAAAGCAAGTAAGAATTGTATCAGAAGAAATGGAGCGATCGTCATAAGCAGAGTACCAATCATTGTTCATAAAAGGTAGCTTCTCAAATAGATGGAACTTGAAGAAGGAGTGGGAGTTTCTCTACCCATCAACATGCACAGATATGCTTTTTGTTTGTTTATTATACTTCACAGGTCTCTTTACAACTTATATAGGCAAAACTTATGTTAACATATTGTCTGTATCTGAAAGCTAAGATGAAAGGAGGAGAAATAAACTTTGTTTGATAGAAACAAAACTCAGTAATTTCCTTTTTTTTGCCTAAACTGTGCAAGCATGTGTTTTCTATTCTACAGGTGATTTTTTTCAGTATTGTTTTTAAAGGAAATAAAAAAATCTGAAGATTTTTTTAACACTGGAGTTACTTTCAAAGTCAGATTCTACAGCTATGCTTGCATGCTTTTTGTAAATTTTTTTTATTTGTACATGTAAATCATATAGATAATGTATCCTAGTATTTCTGCACCAAATTGTGTGCTTGTGCTGCCATTTGTATGAGCAAAATTTATGAATAAAATTTTGGAAGCTATCTTTTGGAAGCTATATTTGGGAAGCTTATTCCCAAATATTTCTGGGAAAATACTTACAGAAAAGACTAGTGATATTACTGAACCTCTCCTCTACAGATGTCAACCACCTGTTCTAAGACTGTGATTAATGATTGTCTCACAAATTACAGATAAAACTTCGGAGTACTACTATGGTTCTACCTCCATTATAGTGTGATTTTTTTTTTTTAATTTATTTTTTTAATATATCCAGTTAAGAGCATTTGTGAGGATTAGAAAAATAATTCTGGTCTAAAGTGTTTTCATATGTAAAATGATCCAGGCCATTCCTAAGAATGCACAGACATGCAATAGACATAACATCTGAAAGGGATTAACTATGTAGAAAGATTAGGTTAATAAAAGAGTAATTAGGATTAGGGGCCAGTCCTCCAATAGGATCCATACATATCAATTCTTCTTATATTTTTTCTCTTATATATTGCTTAACAGTAACTCGAAATGCAACTCTGTCAATGCTTCTGGCGTAATTTTGCTGTCTTCCTGTTCTCATGTCCCACTTAAGTATCTGCAAACGTGTTAAGCCTTGGGTTTTTACTCTTTCGGGATGGATTTGTGCAATTTGCTAATTTCTGAGAACAGGACTTATCCCCCTTACGATTCATGACTAAATTATTAAAATAGCTTGGAAACAAGTTGTTCAAAAGAGAGCACTATTAATTCATGTTTCAGCAGTACTGAACACAAAGATGAAGCATAAAACTAAGAAGGAAAAAGAAAAGCTGTACATGTCTCTGTCATTATCTGTTTAGCTCGGACAGACGTGTTTTGCAGTTGGTAGGAATAACATGCATAGCTATTGGTCTGCTGTGTTGGAGCTTGCTGGGTGTTTTTTTCATTAAAACAATGGGCAGTATTTCTTAGGTTGTTTCTCTTTCAGACCACAGCCCTTTTTTAAGTAGCTTTAAGGCTTGAGGTTTCTTGTGCTATGAGGTTGGTCCTTGCTAGAGTGCCTCCTTCTGAGCTGAAAGGATTCATTCATTCCTATCCTTATTTCTTGGAAGCTTTGTATCCAAAAATGACTAAGTCGTCTCATTGTTTTACCTTTGTTTATGCCTCAAAATATTAAGACATCTCTTCTTATTGCAACTCTAACTTCAAGCAGCAATACAAAATAGAACGGGGGAAACAAAAGAGCCATACATGAAATGCAGAAAAGATTGTCTAGATGGGACTTTCCCATTTAGTCATAAATGTCAGCTTAAGCTGCCATCTGACAGTGAAGATCTGGTCATACATTTCCATCTGGGCCCTTTTTTGTCTTAATTACCTGGTTCATTCTTTCTCAGAGACCCACTTGTGCTGGTTCAGAAGCCCGGGACACAGTGGACAAGCTGTGTGTACCACCACAGCAGCATTGACCACATTGACCAACGTCCATGACTTCTGTTGGAGCAAATCAACAAAAGTGTGATCCTGTTCTGGATGTAAAGAGACTTCGCTGTGCCTGGTGGGGGTGAGAAAGCTCTGAGAATGTCACAATTCCAAATGACTGTCTTGTCCTGTGGATTGATCCTGGACTCCTGTTCCCTGGAGATGTCCTATGGACAAGAGCAGATCAAAGAGGAATTTTCAGAATAGCGGGAGTAAAAACTGCAGATGTAGGATAATGCAAGGGAAGAGTCCTCCCTGTTAGCTGATGCAGCCTTTGACATTTTCCTTCATCTGAGGGGCTTGCAGAGATTTAAGGGAGAAAATGTAGTCCTACTCATCCTATGCCGCTTACAAATGCGTTACCTGTTTTGAAGAGTTCTGTGCAGGGGATAGTCAAGACAAGAAGAGGATTTAACTCTTTGCCTCTGATATTAATTCACAATTAAGGATATATTTTTGTCCAAGGGCAGTATGTCTTTTAGAAAAGTATCCAGTCAAAAAATTATATCTTTTAGTGAAAGTTTCTTTAAAGCAACGTAAGTGCTCCCAGGATGCTTTTCTGAAATAGGTCTGTGGGAACTTCTTTGTCTGTTGTAGGAATTTTCCTTTCATTGTTGACTGATTTTTGTGAATTTAATGTGTGATTTCCACCACCACCCCCTCATCTCATTTTAAAACTATTTAAATCATGGTACTTTCTCAAGGACAAGAAACGCCCCTACTACATTTTCTAATATTTATACTACTAATAATACATATTTGGCAAAAATCAGTATTTTTTTTCAGTTCTTTAGCTCTTACAGTTAAAATTTTAATGTGTCATATGGTTTCAGTTTCCTTGCTGGCAATGCTTCTGAGGCTGTAGATAACACTATACATAAATTATCAGTCTTCACTTGGTTTAGAAATGAATTCTCAGTATCAGGTCTAATTAGTGAAGATACTTTTAGTATAGAAATCTAAACTCCTCTGTGTATGGAGTAAAATGCATTACACTGAGGAAAACTGGGTCACTTTCTTGAGATCAAAGTGATGACAGTAGAAGTGGCTTTTTCAGAAAATAATTAGGTGGCCAATACGAATCAGAAGTAAGCAATAATTAATGTCAGCACAATATACTGGGATTTTTTTGTATCACTGTCATGAAAGATTTTTATACCATTTATATGCCATATACCATGGATGGTATATAGCCAGTTTGTTAAAGTTGTTAATAACACGAGGCAGCACCTATGCAGCTTGCCTTGTTATAAAAAATCAGCATATGTTTAAATACCTGTGAGGTTGCTGACTCAGGCACCTATTTTGGTTTTTTGTATTTTTTTTTCCCCTTCACTTTTCCACATTAAGATGTAGCGTTTTTACACAAAGAACTGCACTATATCATTCTGTGAATTCCTGATACGGGTTTTTTTCAGCTCTTAGGAGAGAATATTTGTGTTATATCTTGGTAAAACATCAGGCAAGGAGCAACTCCTCAGAGCTGGAATAAAGAAATAGCTTTCGTGGTAGTTGCTGTATTTCCAGTACCTAAACCTCAAGAGCATTTGGGCCAATAAATCTGCGATCCAAATAGAGAGTCAGATGGAAAACATTACAGTGACTGTTTTCTGGCATTAAAGAAAATAACCCAGAACTTCCATTTTAAAGAAATTACATCTGCAGCTTACCTTTTTTTACGTGCTTTTCAAAACATGAAAAATTTCCATTGTTTAGCAAGCAGATTCTGATATATACTGTGTTCTTTTTAATAGCCTTTTTCATTGTACATTGTGTGTGGCACATTTATATTCTACAACTCTATTTCAGGGGTGTTGTGTGGGTTAATATTTATTTAGATTGAGATTAAGCTGTTTTGAGTAATTAACATGAACAGATTTCTCCTTTAGCTATCAAAGACCCACACTTAGTTTTCGTTAAGAGCAGAATCTAACTTTCACATCAGTGTGGAAAATTAGTTGGGAGAAAACAGATTTCAGTAGCTCCTGGTCGAGCTTAAGATGTGTGCTGATACTGCTGCTACCCAGATATTTAGGAGGCTCTCATTCTGCATTAAAGAAATGGTCATTCATTTCTCTTTGTCCTCACTCCCTTCAATCTGACGTCAGGATGGTATGAATGAAATTGTTAAATACGAGTCACACACACACAGAAAAAAAAGCTCATAGGCCAATTTTGGTCTTATGAGCTGTCTTAATCTTATGTTTTGGTATTGGGCAGATTTCTGATAATGTTCTCAGACTAATTCATATGTGGGAAGAAAACTGTGAGTAGATTTATAGTTTTGAAGAAGGAATTGCTTACTCCTCCAATTCCCCAAATCTTACAAAGAAATTAAATTGCCTGATAATGTGAAAGCTATTACTTATTAGATAGTTTGTGATTATTTGTGTGGGGAAAAAAAAAATGGAATTTTTCTCATGGGATGCATGCAAAAGATTAGAGACTTTTTTTCCTATATTCTATGTTTTGGCAATAAACTCAGTCGTAAATATATGCGGATGTGGGCTGGCTAGCTTTTAGGAAGCATTTTGTTGTTGTTGTTGTTTTCCTTTTCTTTCCTCACAGAAATACTCTTCTTGATTCTTGTACCCCATATTCAAATCTACTGCTGAGATCAACAAAAAAAGAAATGATAAAGTTTTTTCTTATGGTAAACAAACAGGGTCAAACAAGGCTTTCTAGGTATTATGAGCATGTAGAAATTAATAAACGGACAATGCTGGAAGCTGAAGTAATCAAAAACTGTCTGTCCCGTTCAAAGGATCAGGTAAGTTTTGTAGTTTTTCCCCTACACATTTTATTTTCTCAACATCTCACCTCTTTCGTGTCAATAATTCTGAAAACACACCAGTTTCCATTGCAGGTCATTCTTTAACATGTACACATGAATGAAAAGATTCTGCTTCTAGATTATGTGTTCACTCAGATGAACTGAGGCTTACAGAGATCTTTGGAGTTTTGTGTATCACTGTTATGAAGATTCCTCTCATTTGTTTGAAGACGCTCAGAAGTCCAGGAAGAATTTATTTTATCCTGTTTAATGCTTGTCTGGTAGAGATTGATAGAGAGAGATTATTCCTGCAGAAGGTAGTAGGGATAGTACTGACAGCTCCAAGTTTAAACAAAAAACGTACAAGAAATTATTCAAAATCATAAAATTACTATTTAAAACACAGGGGTTTTAGGAAACACAAATATTTAGGCCTCTGTACTAGGCATTTTTGGTTTAAATAAGTGTTCACACTTTCTGCAAGAAAGTCAGAAAACGTCGAAGTTGGAAAATTTCTTAGAGGAAAGTTGAGATTTTCATGGCTCGCTTAATTGAGCCATTGGTTCTTTAAGAAAAGTACCAAACTTAGCAAAATTTTTGAGTACGTTGACTTGCATTGGAGGAGAATCTGTGACATGGGCTGTTGAGTGCGTTTTTTTGGTTTGTGTTCTGAAGTCAGCTGCTTTATTTTTCATTAATTACATGTGTCCTTGAACAGTGGTCCTCATGTATGTCACTCTAGAAAACCTCAGAAAAAATAGCAGTTCCTATAAAGTACCTTGGTTCACAGAATTGACAGTAGCTATAGAAATTAACCTCCTCCATACTGCTTGCAAGAGCATCTCCAAACAGAATTTCACCAAAAGAGCTAATGGTATGCTGCCATTTCAAGGACTGAGCAAAATGATGCTTAAAAAACTGAAAGAGGCGTCTTGTTAAAGCAATGTATAAGAGCACCATCTGCTGGCTTCTGTCTTATTGTGAAAGACATGTGAATTCCCCCCCTGGGTCTGGAAGTCTAATAATCTTAAATTTTATATAAAAATACTGATAAATTTTTTTAATAGGAAAATTACCGTGAAGTTCTCTCTTTTGGAAGTGCTTCCAAATTAAGATTTAGGGGAAGTATTGGCTGCCGTATAACGCCACACAAGTCACTTCAGTTCTGTATGTTCCAGTTTTTACATTTAAAAAGTGGTAGCATGTTTTCTGCCAGTAGATAAAAAGTTCTGTGTAACAGTTAGGCTACTAAATTTCTTTCAAGTCAAAATTGTTTGGTGAATCTTGGGAAATCCATTGTTCTTCGTGGCCCTTAAGAACATGAAAGCTTAAGCTTTTTGAGCGCCCTGTGCTTAATACTGTCGTATGCTTAGATGGCAACTACATTTGACTCGTCTTCTTTCTGCCTAGTGCTCTTTCATTGAATATAAGGACTTTAAGCTCGTGTACCGACAGTATGCAGCCCTGTTTGTAGTCGTTGGAATCAACGAGACGGAGGTAAGAAATCATATACACTCTTGAAACGAGAGCTTGTAGTAGTCGTGGGCAAGAACTTCAGTCTTTTTCCAGCATGGAATTTTGCAATAGCAATTACAGAATTTCAAGGAGTCATTGCAAAAAGGTGTTTTTATTTCTGTTAAATAAAAAGTATGAAAGAAAATGTGGTTTTGACTCCATTCTAAAGCAGTAGACTGAGCTGTTATCATGAGGCAGTCTTCATGAGCCTTATACTGGTTCTGCTTTCTACATGTATGTTTGGTCAAACAAATTCGTGTAGG